AAATGTGGCATATTTTACATCAATCTAAAATAATGAAGTAAATTGGTTTTTTCTTTTTAATATAAGATTAAATTACAAAAGTTTAGAGTGGAAAACTTTATTGCAATCTAATTGAATAATTTATGGTTGCACCAAATTGCATGTTGAATGACATTCACACTTTTTGACCATGCAACATTTGTGGCAATACATTTAATATGTTGTTTTCACTTTGGTTTATATTTATTCACAACATTTTTTATTATTAAATAATGTAATGTTTTTTAAATATAAAAAGAACAAATTGCATTAAAAAGTAACATACTTTAACTTGATTTTTATTTTGGATAACGTACTTTTAAAACTTTTATTTTGGTACCCATTACCTAAGATGTAAAGTATTAAACATTTAAGTACCGGGTCATCGATTGAAAACCAATTTTAGATTAAAAAAAGACTAATTTTAGATTAAGAAAAAATTATGTCACTAACAACATCAACAAATAATACTTAGTTGGAAACTACATCACTCGCCACATCAGCATGATAACCGGTTAATGCTTTAACCGGTTACCCAAATACTTAAATGTTTAAAAATTTACATTTTAAGTATTAAAATGAAAGTTTTGAAAATACATTACCTAAAATATAAATCAAGTTAAAATAGATTACTTTTTCCATGTAATTTGCACATAGAAAATTTATTTTAATGCCTGATTTATGAAAACTTCTGCATCTAATAATTTATTATAATGCATAAATAATTGAAAAATGGAGAATATAAAGAATAGCCTATTTATATTTCAAGTAAATAAAATAAAATAAAATAAGGGGTTGTTTACCCAAATACTTACCCAGTAAACGCTTATCGGTAGGAGTCAACACTATAATCTATTTTACCAGAAAATGTTATAGTATATTAAAACGGTATCGTATGCAACAATTTACCCGATAAACGCTTATCCGGGTAAGAGTCTTCGTCATCACTTACCGGGTAAGACTCTCTATCCTTATCATCGCTTTTACCGGGTAAGATTTTCAGCCTTCTCATGTGCATCAAGCGAGGAAAGTTACTCGATCAACACTTACCGGGTAAGTGTTTAGTAAACGCCCCCTAAGTCATTACTGACAATGTTAGTGAATCATCAGATTAATTTATATAATTGGATTTACAGTAAAATGAATGAGTTGATAGATAGTTAAGGTACAACGAGAGTTAAGAGGTCTATAATGCTCATTTATGATTTGTATAAGGTAGCTAGTAATCTAGTATCTAGAGTCATCGAACTTAACCATATAGCTGAAGGGGGTTATGGTGATCGTTCCCTTTTGTGGGGTCCAAGGGGCAACAACCCTAGCGGTCAACGGGGGCGCTTTGCAGAGATCAAGAAAATGTCGCAAACCAAAAACGACGTGTCCTATTCCTTTTAAATTATATAATTCTTGGCTTCATGATGTTGATTTTGTGCAGTTGGTTAAGGATGGATGGATCAAGAATACTAATGTGGATGAGGACAGTAACAACATTAAGCTTTTCATGTCAAACTCAAACAGTTGAAATCTGGCATTAAGGCCTGGAGGAAAGCTAAAATGGAGTCGAGAAAAGCTGAGAAATTTGCCCTAAGAACAAAAATCGATGATTTTGATGCTCGTGCCATGAACAGAGTTCTTACGGATGCAGACGTGCAGGCCAGAGCTGATGCAATGAAGCGTGTATTAGAAATTGACAAAGCAGAGCTCTGTGATCTTAAGCAAAAGGCGAAAGCGAGGTGGGACCTTGAAGGTGACGAGAACACTCGATTCTTTCATGGGATTCTCAGAAGTAAGTACAGCCGATCGAACATTCTTGGTATAAACTAAAACGGCAGCTGGATTAGAGACTCGATTCGCATTAAAAATTCGGCCTACGAATTCTTTAAGCGTAAGTTCTCGGAAGATGTGGCTTGCCAACCGAAATTCAGAAGTGATCTTTTCAATAAATTATCCCCCCAACAGAAGAGTTTGCTTGAAATGCCGTTTTCTTTGGAGGAAATTAAAGCGGCTGTTTGGAGTTGTGGTAACGAAAAAGCCCCGGGTCCCGATGGTTACTCTTTCGCTTTCTTTAAAAAAATTTGGGATATTCTCAGTGATGATATTTTCAAGGCTGTCAAATCCTTTGAACATAATGCGGTTTTAAGAAGGGGTTGTAATGCTTCGTTCATCACTCTGGTCCCGAAAGTAAGTGATCCTACCTCTTTCAAAGATTATAGACCGATTAATTTAATTGGCTGTGTTTGTAAGATCATTTCTAAGGTTTTATCGGAAAGACTGAAAGGAGTTTTGGAGTCGATTATTGGCATAGAGCAATCGGCCTTCATCAAAGGTCGTTGTATTCTGGATGGCCCGTTGATTGTTAATGAATTAGCTTCCTGGGCGAAGAAGTCGAAACGGAAAGTTCTGATTTTTAAAGCTGATTTTGAAAAARCATTTRATARCCTGAACTGGGGTTTTTTAGATGATGTTATGAACCAGATGGGGTTTGGTCTTACTTGGAGGAAGTGGATTCGTGGGTTACTCTCAAATGCGAGTGTCTCTATTCTTGTTAATGGTAGTCCATCGGAGGAATTYTTAATGGAAAAKGGGGTGAGGCAAGGCGACCCACTTGCCCCTTTCCTCTTCATCRTTGCTATGGAGGCGCTCCGTGTTGYTATGTTAGAAGCCCGGATTAAARRCCTCTTCTCTGGCATTTCTCTTCCCCATGGTGGCCCAGTCTTAGAGCTTSTCCAATTCGCTGAYGATGTTGTCTTTCTGGGGGATTGGTCTTTGTCTAATGGGACTAATCTTATTCGTCTGTTAAGGTGTTTTTTCTTATCTTCTGGCTTAAAAATTAATCTTCATAAAAGTTGCCTTTATGGTATTGGGACTACGGTAGGGGAGTCCGGTTTCCTTGCTCGGAAAATGTTTTGTAAGTCTGCGTCGTTACCTTTCATGTATTTGGGCCTCCCGGTGGGTGCTCAAATGAGTAGGCGTTGTAATTGGTCTAAGTTGATTTCTAAGTTTCATGAGAAGCTTTCCTCTTGGAAGGTTAAGGCTCTTTCCTTCGATGGCCGGAAGATCCTCTGCAAGTCGGTTCTAGGTAGTTTGGGAGTCTATTTGCTTTCTCTCTTTAAGGCTTCCGATTGTGTGATTAACTCTCTTGAGAGCATCAGGAACAACTTCTTATGGGGTGGAGGTACACATGGAAGGAAGATTACTTGGATTAGATGGAGTGTTACTTGTAACTCGTTGGATAAGGGTGGTATCAGTATAGGCAGTCTAAAGGCGCTTAACTGGAGTCTTATTGGGAAATGGTGGTCGAGATTCCTCACACGAGGATAGTTTATGGAAAAACTGCATCAAGTCTTTCCATGGCATGGATGGCGGTTTATTTCGTGATGGTAGTAGGAAGTCGGGGGTATGGGGTGCGATCACGAAGTGGAACTCTCTTTTGAGTAAAGTGGGTCTTCATTTTACCAACTTCTGGTCATTGGACTCAAGTGGCAACCGTGTTTGGTCTCTCTCTAACGATGGTGTATTCAAGGTTAAGACGTGTAGGGAAAAAATTGAAGAGCGGGTTCTTCAATCGGATCACAGGTGTACGTTGTGGAACAAATCAGTTCCAAGTAAAGTTAATATGCTTTTTTGGCGCTTATCCAAATCTAGGCTGCCCACTAGATGTAATCTTATGAATAGAGGTATTCGTATGGATTCGTATATGTGTCCGTGCTGTCTTTGTCATCCAGAAACGGAAAATCATTTATTTTTTGGATGCTCCACGACTAAAGAAATTGGCGCGCTTGTAAAAAATTGGTGGCCGGGATTTCCTTTTCAAGCTACTAATTTGGCGGAGTTCATAGCGGCGACAAAGTTCCTGTTCAAAGGAAAGAAGGCGGCTGAGGCTATGGAGATGATTCTCTTGGTGTTCATTTGGCTTATTTGGGCTAATCGTAATGATCTTGTTCATAACAAACCGGCTAAAATGCCGAAGGCGATCTTCAAAGATATTGCTCTCTTTTCTTTCAATTGGCTTAAGGTTAGATCGAAAAATTGTAAACATCTTGATTGGGAACTTTGGTGTAGTAGCCCGTTAAGGGCGATTTTGTATCCGCTAACGGCTTGCTAGCGTGTTGTTTATTGGTTTTATAATATTTGCTGTTAAAAAAAAAAAGGAGAAATGTTCATAAGCATAAAGCTTTTGGAAATTGTTGTGATCGAGTATGGCTCAAAAAAACTATATGCTTTCTGAACAAACTAAATATCAGTGTACTTTAAAGCTATATATTTTTTTTATTATTAGTATAATTTTAATATAAAATTTTATAAAGTCAAAAAACTTAATTAAATAAAATAAAATCTAAATTATCACAATAAAAATTATTTTTTACCAATGCAAAAAAATCAATTTAATAGAAAAAAATCAATTGATGCAATTGGCTAGATATAAAAATCTTGAATGTGATATTTAATATTTATTTTTTATTGCATCAATTAATTTTTTTTCTATTAAATTGATTTTTTTTGCATTAGTAAAAAACAATTTTTATTGTGGTAATTTGGATTTCTTTTTTTAAAAATGTTCAATTTGATATTTGAATTAAAAAAAACGAGATTTGAAATGAAAAATAGATTTTATTGCATTAATTTTTGAAAAAAAAACGAATTTTAGTTATTTTTCTATAATTATGTTGCAAGTTGGTTCATAAAGTAGGAATCAGGTGCAAGTTGGTTCCCTAAAATGACGATTTTGAAAGTTGGTTCCCCAAAATAGGAATCAGATGCAAGTTGGTTTCACAAAATGACGATTTTGAAAGTTAGTTCCCCAAAATAAGAATTAGGTGAAAGTTGGTTCCATTTTGGTGCAATTTTCTTGCAAATAAAACCAAAAAACAGAAAAAAATTCTATTAAAATTTGTAAATTTCAAACGACGTCGTAGACTGAGGATTGATTAGATAAAAGAAAAGGGAAAAGTACTCGACTTCACGGTGTTCCCTGTAAAAAAATGTCTATTAAAGTCTCATCCTCTTTAGAAGGAAGCAGAAACAAAACATACGTATAACTGCTTTCAGAAACCCAAACACGGCACCGCCGCACCGAACCGCCGTTGTTCATCTCCGGCCATGCTACCGGAAATTTCAGATAAACCACCACCGTGAAAAACCTCCATTCTTCTAAACAAAAATACAATGGCACTGGTTAAAAACGCTGCCAGCAACAGGGACTTCAAGCATCGAGTACTCGTGTGCCTCAACAAACTATCTGACCGGGATACACACTCGGCCGCCGCCACTGAGCTCGAGTCCATTGCCAAAACGCTCAATCACGAATCCATACCTCCGTTTCTCTCTTCCATCTCCGTCACCGACTCCACCGACAAGTCGCCGGTTCGTAAACAATGCGTCCGTTTGATTTCTACCTTATCTGAAGCTCACGGAGACGTTTTATCTCCTTATTTGTCAAAACTCCTGTCTGCCGTTGTCCGCCGACTCCGTGACCCCGACACTGCGGTCCGCTCCGCCTGCGTTGCCGCGACCGGTTCCATCGCCTCTAACATCACCAAACATCCGTTTACGTCGGTAGCGAAACCTTTCGTTGACGCGTTGGTGACTGAACAGGATTTGAACTCTCAGATCGGCGCGGCTTTGTGCTTGGCCTCGGTTATCAACAGCGCACCGGATCCAGACACGGCTTACTTGAGGAGGTTGCTACCGAGGATAGAGAAGCTGTTGAAGAACGATAGCTTTAAGGCGAAGGCGGCATTGCTGGGGGTCGTAGAGAGTGTGATAAGCGTCGGTGCTGCTTCGAGTCCGGTAATTGTGAGGAATTTAGTGAAGGTTATGGCTGAATTCGTGGCCAAAAGTGAGGATTGGGCTGTGCGGAAGGCAGCAGCGGAAGTGCTCGAGAAGTTGGCTGTTGTGGAGACGGATTTGTTGCCGGAGTTCAAGGCTTCGTGCTTGAAGACATTCGAGGCGAAAAAATTCGATAAGGTATAATACTAATCGTTGAATTAAAATCGAGTAGTGAGTATGTGGGTTTACATCGAGAATTTCGATTATTTTGTAGGTGAAAGGCGTAAGGGCGACGATGAATCAGATGATCGAAGCTTGGAATGCAATTCCAGATGCCCCGGAGGAGGTATCGGCACCACGGCAATCTCAATCTTCTAAAGGTTCGAAGAATTATCATATCTGAAATTTCAAAATATTTGCATAATTGCAGAACATTTAATTTTTGGTTACAAGCCAGAGCAACGTACCCACATTCGTAAAGTTGTATTGCAGATCCCTTCTTTCTCTAGCAGTTTATTCCATTCAAATTTGTAGTTCGCATATAATTTATCAAAGGAACTCAAATTAATGACTATATACATTGTTAATTTTCTTCCTGTAATTATAGTTCATATGCATTTGTGTGATGATATGAACAAGTCGTTTGGATTCTTAATTCCCCTAAGTTTTTGGTTTGTAATGTGTATGCGTATTTGTTGGTGTTCTTGATGATATTCTGAATTACCCAAAATAATCTGGTTTCTGATGTGTGATATGGCAGAAGAAGTTGCTAGTGATGTAAGATATCCACCAAGGACACCTCAAATAATAAGTAAACGAACATTGCCCTATGGTTCTTCTACCAGCACTGCGACAAGAAGAATGTCATTCGAAAATAGCAGTAGGAAAACTAGTCCACCCATGTTTCGTAAGCTGGATCGCAAGAAGCCGAATGATCAAAAGCGTGACACTGCTGTTGTGGCTCCTCCTGCCACTCTGGTCGCTGAGGATGAGGGTCATCTCAAACCTAGATTTATGAAACAAGAAACAAAACGGGCCCTCTTCGGTGAAATATCTGATGAAAAGATGCATGAATCTCAATTTTATGAAGACAGGTCAAATTCCAGAGTTGCAGGGAGCGATGCCAATTTGAATATCAATTCTATTCAACAAGATCCTGAAGACTTGTCTCTGATCCGCAATCAGCTTGTTCAAATTGAAACCCAACAGTCCAACTTATTTGATCTTCTAGAGGTAATTTGCTAGTAATGCTCAATAATTGTTTTGAAGTAATTTGTTGTTATCAAGTGCAATTTGAATCTGACTAGACGGTACAAAAAATCTGTTCAATTTGTTTTCACTCATATTAGATAAATAGTCACTTAACATGAGACAACAATACGGTTGTTGTGGATTGGCTGGTTGAAGTATATTGATATAAAAATATACATAGATACAAACTGTTTCGATTTGATCATATATACAGCCTGCCATTGTTATCACTGTTTCACTTTCTCATTTGTAGTGGTCAACATGGTATTCATAGATGCAAACTATTTTGAATTCATCATATATGAGCCTATGCAAATATGGAGAAAAGATTATATTTATGCAGCTTAGATAACCAGAAATTGATTTAAGTTTGGAATTGTTGTTGGCATCGGTGTGGTTTATGCAACTTTTACCAATTTAGTTGAGCTGGTTTGTTTCTCTAATCTAGGCTTCAATTTGTCTATATGAACCAATGTGGTTAGAATACATTTTGCTTCTAAGGCAACCTAGTTTGATTGCTCTTTCGATGGTAATTATGGCCGGTATCTTTTCAAACACACTAATGAATGTTGGTCACAGCATAATTTGGGAACACTAATTTAATATGGGACTTGATAATTAGTTGTACCTTCCCACCAACTGGTTGGGATCTAACAAATCCTACTAGAATACCTAACCCATCTCTGACAGAAACGAGTGAACATTAATGAAAATTTGTTTGGACGATAGTACCCATCATTAAATACAATTTACAAAACGATGTTCAAAATTGACCGTTTCTTAGGACAGAAAAATAGTAGCAGTGAATTCCTTTTCTGGGATATTAGAGTCTTTTGTATTATAACAAGTGAACAATCAGAAATTGGTAATAGATTGGCTTCGAACCCCCCCCCCCCCTCTTCTCCCGAAAGAAAAGTTTAGGCCTTTGGCCACCGTATGCTGACTTTCTTTTTTGAGCTTATTGAAAAATCTCCATTTAATTAAGTCATAAACTAGCTTATAAGCTAGCTTTTTGAAATTTTACTTGAAGTAGTGTATCAATAAGCAGCTCTAGGGGCTTTTATTCATGTTTTTTTCTTTATAATTATGCTCCTTATATTTTTCTAATTAACTTTTTAACATGTCTTGGGTCATTTTTACATTGTCAATCTACCTTATAAGCTAGTTTTTACCAAACATAACTAGTTTATCAGCTAGGTTATGAAGCAGCTAACAACTAGTTTGCCAAATAGTCTTAATTGTTGCTAGAGACATGAATCTATGAGTTATACTTCTGGAACTTGTTTAAGTATTTATGATCTTCTTAATCATTATAAATCCCCATAACAACTTAATATTTGTTGTTTCTTTTTTATCCTCGACTCATATAAATGTTAATGTAATACCATGTTTCCTATAAAGACAACTTCTCATATGTTTTTTTGTTGCTCTGTCTTAAATGATAGAAATTTATCGGGAGCTCACAGAATGGGATGCGGTCACTGGAGTCGCGTGTGCATGGTCTAGAGTTAACACTTGACGAGATTTCATTTGATTTGGCCAAGTCAACTGGTCGGGTATCAAATCCCGAACCCACCCTGTGTTGCAAGTTACCAGGTGCAGATCTTTTGAGCTCTAAGCTCTGGAGGAAACCAGAAATTAAAAATTCAAACTTGCGAACATCTGTGGCTGCAATCCACCACATGAACAAGGATCTTGAATCATATAACCTTCAAAACACTCCATTTCGTTTCCAGGAAGGTGGTAGCGGGTTGATCAAGAATCCGTTGGCTGAGGTGCACCGTGAGTCCCATAGAACGTCATGCACTGGAACCTCAACCCACAAATAATATCATCTGCTAGAGTTATTCCGAGGTACGTTTCAGCTACTTTTCGCCCTCATGAACCCGGACCTGAATTCTTTTTATGGAACTCACACATTTCCTTTTCGTTCTCTTTTTTTCGTAGTTTATAATCACATTCACGGAAACGAACATCGTTGCCTCTTTTCTGGGTAAGAAATACAAGAAAAAGGGATGTTGAGTGTTGTTATTTAAGAGGTTGGTATTATGTAAAGGGCATATTTGTGTATAGAAGAAAAACTGTGCCCTTATTTGGCATTTCCCTTTTGCCTTTTCTTTTCTTAAATTAGTGTTGCCATTTATTTGCATGCTGGTCATGATTAGTAAGGGTACATGTTTGATGATTCGTAGCAATTTCTGGGCTTCCTTTTCTCCCTATGCTTTTATGTTTGTTTATTATAGGTTGGTGAGATGCATGATGAAAGACTGTACCATGCCATCCTTCTTTCTTTTTGTGCATCTGACAAATCAATATAGTAGGGTAAGTTTCAAATAAGAAGGCTAAATATTGTGATAAAGGTTCATAATTGAAAAAATCCTAAGAAAATCTATTTGGATATGCGACATTACAGATTATTCATATGGGTTCACACATGTATCTTCAAATCAATTTTTTCAGTGATCCTCATATGGAACCTTCATTTCTTACATTCTCACGATATTTAGCCTTGTTATTTGAACATCGAGTAGGCAAGTAAAAAGATATAAAATGGAAAAGAAACATGGATTAAATGTTGCATGTTCACATGGATTCCACAATCTGCTTTAAACTTGATCCGTGTCCACTTGTGGTACTAGTACTACTACATTTACAGCGGGGTCTTTATATGTTAGCCCGTGTACAACCATCTTTTTGGTTTGGCAGTTGGCACGTGACCGCTCTTTGTCCCTGCGCGTGTGTATCATATTGTGTTTGCTACAACTACCCTTATCTTCTATCTCTACCTCTTATCTCTATCACGTACTACTCGCCCCATCTTAAAGTAAATATTTGTAGCTGTCAATTTATTATTATTATTAAATTTGTTACATTTCATGATATGAATATTGTTTTTTCTTGGTTGGTAAAAGAAAATGCCCCTTTCATTGTGGTTTTCGTACGGGGCGGTTGGGGTCATCAATAAGTCCTAACTTTTTGCCCTACTTTATTGTATTTTACTATGTTTATAGAAAAAAAAACGTGTTAATCATAAGTAACATAATAGTTGTGGTTTATTTGTGTTTCAAATCATATGATTTGTAATTAGTTCGGTATATGTATTACATTGAGTAGTAGATCACATGTGATACAAACTGGGGAAGTAATGTTGTGGATCCTAAAAACCGAAAAAAGTTGTGGATTAATTGTGTGTTTCACATGTGATATATAACGAAAAATCTTATCATATATGGATCCAAACAGAGAAAATCATTAACAAAAAGTGAAAAAAAAATCACGAGTTAATTATAATCCAATAATATATTAATTTTAATTTTGATAATTCTTAAGAGTGTAAATTACTTTCATAACCTTGTTACCTAGATTTTGAAAAGTTAATCATAACCATTAGATTTTGAAAAGTTAATCATAACCATAAGATTGGATGAGATGGAGGATTGAAACATGTTATCATGTATGAATATTATTTATGTGTACAAAGTAAGGTTTAGGAGAAAACCTTGAACAAATGAAAAACTGGAAAACATCTTATTTATTGGGTGTGATTATATGAAAAGTTATAACAATATTTTTTTTAAATTAAAAAACCTCACTTCTGGTTTTTATTCGAAAAAGGACAAAAATGAACAAAATTCGAGCAAATAAATTACATATTAATATACTTTTTCATCCGGTTTTTCATGGTTTTTCGAATTTTCATTTATTTAACGTTTTTCCTATAACCTAATCCTATGTATATGTGTGTAATAGGTAATTACCAACATTAACTCATTTTTGAACATTTGATTGCAATACGATAAGTAACGTAGCACCGAAACAAGTTAATCGATCGTAAGATCCATAATTGAACCATCCTATCTGCCGATGGTTCCACGGTTTTGTCAAGTGTCAACAACCCTGCAATGGCACAATTGTCTTTCGAATCGAAACAATAAAAAGCCCAATTACAAAAGCGTTATAGCCCCCATTGAAATAATACGCCCTTTATCTTGCACAATTAGGGCCCAAAAGGCCCAAACACAATGTGTTAGACTTGTCTTTTTTACTTAAAACTTGATTTGAAGTTTTAATTCTTCTTTCGGGTGGTTTGGTTTATCTTTATTCAACTCTCTTTGAAAGTGGTATTTTACTTTCACATGTATATCTATACATCTAATAAATAAGTAACTTGGGTGACACGTGTCATTTTCTGGTGAGTCAGTTATCTTATTTTCCCGCCTAAACATGTATCTAGACACAATTTACATTAGTGGTTCAAAGAGGCCTATTTGGTTGACGCATGTCCCTCTAAAAATGTATCTTCTTTTTTTATCATGGTTTAACTGATTTATTTACTAAACATGATTTAGTTCTGATTAATTTCCTTCAACTAATCTGACAGTTTATTGTTGACAGCCTTCAGCTTGTGTTTTCAGCTTATCGTGACAGCTCTCAGCTTATCGCTGACAGCTTATCACTGACAATCTTCAGCTAATCTGATAGGTTATTGCTGACAGCTTTCAGCTAATCTGACAAGTTATTGCTGACAGCCTTCAACTTGTGTTTTCAGTTAATCGTGACAGCTTTAAGCTATCACTGAAGAGCCAGCTTTCAGCTATCACTGAAGAGCCAGCTTTTAGCTTATCGTGACAGCTTTCAGCTATCACTTGCTGATGTTGTCAAGGAGTTCTGTAAGACGAGTTTTGTTGGTTAACACGCCGGCTATAAAAGGTTCTTTTTTTTGCCAAAAATATGTCTACATTTGTTCAAAATAACACATTTAATTTTATTCTAGGGTTCACTTTATTTTAACTAATTATTAATATAGTTTCATTTCTAAATTCAAGTCTGAAGAGTCATTTTTCAGAGTTATTTTAAGAGTACAAGTCTGAAGTAGCATCGTACTTTCGATGATCATTCATATCTGTAAGATAAGTTCCTGACATGATTTAATTTTTTTCAAATTACCCCGTGTAATACAAGGGATCGAACCTAGTGTGTGTGTGTGTATATATATATATGTATATATATATATATATATAGAGAGAGAGAGAGAGAGAGAGAGAGATACTGAGGTTCAGAGAAAAACTGTAAGTAAATGAAAAACTAGAAAACATCTTATCAAAACGTTAGATTATCTTATGTGATATAAGTCACTTGTTTAAGATAATTATTTTATTTATTAAATAAAAAGAAAAAGGGTAATTTAGTAATAGAAAGGACAACTCATAAACACAATTAATTAATTTATTCTCGTCATAAATAGAAAACTCATAACTCCCATAAATAAGAAATTCATCTCCTTCTACACTGTGTTATCTTTGATGCCATCATGCCAATAACACAAGTATCACATTATGCTTTTTCGTTTTTTACAGTGTATCACAACTTGCATTTTAAGGTGTCACAACGTGTATACAGTAACAGTTTTTTTTTTTTTTTTGACAAATATATCGATTTTATCTAATTTTAATTGATTTGGGATAAGAAACGCGAGGAAGGTAATCAAAACCGAAAGAAGATTTCTTCTCCTTTCGTTTAACACTTAGGAGCCATGTGAGATGAAAATCTCATACACAGTTTTAAATTAGAGAAATAATTGAGGAAACAGATAAAAGAAGAGTTTGAAGGGGATAATGTTAATGTCTCCATCACTATTAATGATTTACATCAAAGAATTTGATCAAAAAAACTAACCAAAAATAACGTGACTGACATCTTGTCGGTTCATAAAAATTGGAACTCTTGGCAGCCAGCGATTTCGCTTAAAACCAACAATTTTTTTTCCTGATAAAACATATTATTTTTATGTAGATTTGATTGATCTGGGATAAGAAAACGAGCAAAAGAAAAATGTGGAGGAGATAATGTTAATGTCTCAACCAGTATTGACGATTTATGTCAAGAATTTGATCAATAATTATGAAAATGGTGTGATTGATAACTTCTTGATTCATAATCATGGAAGCTCTTGACGGAAAACGACTCCGCTTGCGTTGTTGTTCCCTGCCACGATGTCACCTTAATCACCATTTTTTGTATATGATCGTCTGTAGTAATCTAATCTGAGGGCTTTCTACAAGGATTCACAAAATATTGCAGATTTGATTATTACGATGTCAAATAGTAATAATCTAATTAATTTTAATCTTAAAAGTAAAAAATAATACGGAATTTCTCTACTGTTGCAAATTATTACTACTTTAAACTGCAACAAGAGTGAGCTAAATGAACCCGCGATATATGTTATGTGAACCGCCTTACCAATTCCATATTCACACTATCAACGTCTTTTTTTTTTTTACATTTTAATGTTATGGTTTGATTTAAATAAGACTTGGGATCATGTGAGACAAGACTGTTTTCGTGAGACAACATTTTTACACTTGAAGCTTCATAATTTGCTGTTTTTTTTACATTAACAACATTTTATTGTGAAATTTCAAGTGTAAAGATGTTGTCTCATGTATCTCACAAAAACAATCTTGTCTCACGTGAACTCAACCCCTTGTAATCAATTTTATAATAGATTACATATATAATTTAATAAAATACATCAAAAATAACATGATCAATATTAATAACATTATCATTTTACATTAAAAAACATATTTTAAACCACAAGGGTGGTGTCTGATTGGTTTGAGCTTGGCTCCAAAGGTCAAAAGTATTACGAAGTTCCAGGTTCAAATCCAAAGAGGAATAAAAATCCCCTTATGGCCACGGAGGTTCAAATGCTGTGACTCCAGGCTATCTGCAAAACAGATGGTCGTCCTAACATTAGTCGACTCGCATAGCGGATTGGATATCCAGATTAATAAAAAAAAAAAATTTATATTTAAAATAAATCAAAATTTTAAATAAAATTGTTATCTTGTGGGGAGAAAAACAAGAAAAAGGTAGAGACAAATTGGCACATTTCATGTGGGGATTTCTTTAATTAAAGTCAAAAGGGATTAGTGGTCAAATTATTGTTTAATTAATACAACTTGAATTAATTAATGCTAATAATAAGGTATTAAATATTAATCATATAGTACAATTACAAATTTAATTATATGCAAGTGATATTATTTTAAAATATAATTTATATTCTCTTAAAATTCGTTTTAAATAAATCATATAGTTTCTTTTATACATTTTTACAGATAAATATAACACTGTTGTATTTAAAATAATACTGATAATAAATAGTCGTTGTATGAAATCTATGTAATGAAAAGTCTCATAAATA